AGCCAATCTTCAAATGAACCTCATTTCTAGCACTCGTGCCCACATATTGAAAGATTGCTAACCTCGCAGTTACTGCTCAGTCAGTTTCGTCACAACACACCGAACTTGTACCTTGTTCGCACTCACAGACATGCATGGATGTTTCGCCCATTGACCTTTAATCCCTTCTAAAAGAGCGCAAATTATTTTCCTATTTTGCAAGCGGTGCCTCTCTCTGATAAAGCTAACGAACTCAACGGCTCCTGCGGGCTGAATTGCTGAGTAATGTGTAAAAAGCAGGGCGTTTGAGTGACTTTCGATTTTTCGTATATTTGATAGAACAGACTCAGTCAGTCAGCGTTTGATGCACTCAACAGCAGATTGTGATATTGTTCGTGAATTGAACCGTAAAAACTTTGCGAACTGTTGAAGTTCTTCAATAGTCTCTTCTAGTCTTTCTTAATGGTATCGTTTGATTAGTTAATGTAATTGTTTCGTCGAAAATTACAAATGTCATCCTGCGGACAGAAATGAAGACATCGACAAACAAGCTTGGACCATGCTGTTTCGAAGAATTTTGTTGCATTTGTTATGCAGACGATACAAAGGATAATATCAATTTTATATTTTAACATGTAATCCATCAGGCATTTTTCGGATCTTCCATTCACGTTGCCCATGAATTATTATTCTCTCACGGTTAGACGGTATAATGAAATTTTTCAATAGACGTTATTTGAGGATTGCTATGGAGGTGATTCAAAATCCTTCTTCCTTTTGTTAGAAAAAGCATCTTCATTCTAAACTAATCTATTTAATAATACATTTCAAGTTCTTCACGCAAGAGATTTTGCTCTATATTTGCGATCCTCACTCGGATTGTTAGACCGCTATCCATTAAAGCTAAGCATTGAGGTCATGTTGTAGGGATAATATGGTATTGTCGTGTTACGAAATCTGATAGTTATGGCTTTAACACCAACTGTATGATTCAGTCAATGATTCAAATCATTCCCTCGTCCTAGCATAAACAGCATTTTGATATTGAAGAAAGTTATTAACATTTGGCAGAAATAAGACCATTGCAACCAGGACTGGAAAAAATGATTAAGATGAACGAGAAGAAAAAGACTGAACCAAGTAAGCATTTAGTTAAATGGCGATGATGCAACAAGGAGATATGGAAAAAGAGATCAGAAAAACTGCAATCTCGTCATCGGTTTAAATACTTGTGTCATCTGAATTTGCATATGTACGTTGCTCTGGCTTGCAATTTTCTTACACTGTGAGGTTACATTGAATACAATAAATCGTGTGACGATGTGAAAAATCTTGAAATTCTATGGGACACCGGAGCACATCATCCCGTTTTGGAAAATATGCAACAGAGTGGGCTAGTGGGCAAACAAAGAATTATAGTGCTTTCTGAACTTCAGGATAAGTTAAATGTGATCGGAGAAGGAAAACTGTTGCTGATTGTGAGATCGAGGTACTCCTGTGAGGCAATAAATTCCAGCAGGGAATCAGTAATTAAAGCAGATCGAGTAAACACGGTCGACCGGAGACGTCTCGCAGAAAATGGAGAAAGTTTATTCAGTGCACTTCGAGTGATCGAATACCAGGTCATGAGGGACTGACCGAGACAGCATTTCTTTGGATATAAGTTCATACGTGCATTGATCTTAAATGAACGAAAGCCGGCATGTGACAGCTCTGTCATCCATGCAAATTATGAAGGAGGTTGGCTCTATTATGCCGAAACTGTATGTGTTAAAGGGAAAAGATTCTAAAAATAATATTGAACCGTGCAAAATTCTCGTGTTGTTGCTGTAAACAGACATATTTTTACCCAACGCAGTAAACAGGAGCCTATGGAAGAAATATTCAGATAGCGATCAAGTACGAAGGGATCGTGGAAGGCAAAAGCATTCTTTTTATTTGTCAGTTCTTGCAGCACAGCTGAACGCTGTGCTGTGATCAAGTAAATATTCTGTAGGCGTCATCGTTGGTGATTGCATAGTGTTTATACAGATTCCTTTTACCTTCATCTAATTTTTCCAGTTGAGTGTGTTAAAACGCTAATAACAAAGGTGATATTGTGTTGTATCCTTTTGTTCGACGTTTCATTCGACTTTGCACTTTCGACTTTGCTTTCATGAAGCTTAATATTAAGCGTTGCATTTTTTAAATGATGGCAATTATTTCTCAGCATATTTTCTCGATTTTCTATCTCTTAGAAGCATATAATAGGAAAAGGCGCAGACAGAGTGATAAGCTTTCTCGAAGTAAGCGAATCCTAGGCAGAAGAGAAGCAAAGATTCTTTTCTTGTTTGAATGATCTTTCGTACCACCTGAACGTTAAACGTTACCTATCCTGCTATGAATCCCGTTTGCTCCCTTAGCTGTGCAATTTTCCCGTTAGCCAGGCGTCTGTTCGTCAGTAACTTCGAACAAATTCTTGTGAATGATTGTCAACTAGCTGATCAGCTTACAGTCCTTCAGATCTTCAGATGCTTAGTATAGTTAAAATGCCGATACAGCATTGATTCGCCTGGAATTATCACATCTGTCACAAAGTTAAAATAAAGTCGCTATTCACTGGAGTGTCATTCTCCGTTCATCTATCACGACAAGACGAAATTTTTGACACTGTCCTTCATATCTCTTTTGGCGTGGTGTTCATCTTCATAATCCAATCGTGCCTGGTTGCTTTTTCCCAGGGCTATGCTTACATCACATTGGCCACTGTAATTTGTAGTTTTCTGCTTCATTCCGTAATCGCTTTTATAATTCAAAAAGATAAAAATCGGATGACCCATGGAGGATCGAACTCACGATTGTGTAACCGCGAGTCCAACACTTTTTCGACAGAGCTACCCAGATATACCCAATAGAGTGTCAATAAGGACCCAGTAGTAGTCAGTTATTGACCTCTTTATTTCTTGCGCTCCTCCGTAATGCGGCATTCTCTAGCAGCCATTTCAGTTTTCTCCTTCCATTTGGAATGTCGTACTTCTAGTGATGGAATAGCACTGCTAACCTCACGAGCTTAATCAGGGTCCTTCCGGTGTTTAATGAATACAGTTATCACCTTTATATCATTTTCACAGTCATCTTATAGAAAGTTCTCTAATTGAAACTTTTGGAATTCAGCACATCAGGTTACAGTGCTTCGGGTATCCACAAATGCATTCAATGTTTAGGCGTCAGAACTCATTGATCGACTGCCTGAACAACCGTATAACGCCACGTTTCGCAAACCCTGGTGCATACAGTTCTGGTACTATGACGAACATCTGGAAAACAGGGAACAGAGCGAAGATTGTCTTTACCTCAATATTTTCGTGCCGTCTCAGGTGCACCACTTTACTACGTTTTTCAGCCTTCTACTCTGACGCTTAATTTAAAGACAAAGCATGCGCTGCCTTTTCCGGTGCTGGTGTGGATCCACGGAGGTTCGTTTCAAGTTGGCGGATCCGGCATGTTTCCGATCAGAACGACTGTCAAAAATCTGGTATCACGTGGAATCGTAGTGGTGTTCGTAAACTATCGCTTAGGCCCTCTTGGTAGCGATTACTGTTGTCGTTCGTCGAAATCTTCTGAAAGATATTTAGGGTTCCTGTCGTCGCTGAGCGCCGATTTGCCTGGAAACTACGGTCTTGACGACCAAGTGACAGCGCTGAGATGGATCAAAGCGAACATCGCCGATTTTGGCGGTGATCCAAGCAAAATTACGAT